AATGCATAAATAAGTGGAACAACAAATCTATGTTTCTCTCTCTCTCAAATCAATAAAATTAAAAAAAAAAAAAAAAAAGAACCGGAAAATATAAATACATACAGTCACGTGCCGTTTAAAGACAAGGACACATTCTAGAAGATGCGCCATTAGGCAGTTTCCTCATTGTGCTAACATCACGGAGTGCACTTACATGAACCTGGGTGGTGTAGCCTATTCCACACCTAGGCTATATGGTATACACGCCGCCCGTGTGGTTCGTCACTGACTGAGATGTCATTATGCGGCACATGACTGAATAATTACTCCGTGATTCCACCACCAAATAACCGCTTTGGGACATTTCTTTTTTTGTCCTTATACATAAAGCTGTAATGAACACCATCATCCATAAACTCAAAAATATCTTTGTTTTGTTTGCTTGTTTTTATATATCTTTTTATATGTCAATGATGTGAGAGGATCATTGATCAGCTGCCTTCTGCCCGACTGGGGATTGAGCCCGCAACTTGGGCATATGCCCTGACCGGGAACCGAACCGTGACCTCCTGGTTCACAGGTTGGTGCTCAATCATGGAGCCACCGCGGCCGGGCAACTCAAAGGTATCTTTGGTTACATCCTTAGGATAAATGCCTAAGAGTGAACTGTTCTTAGTGAAAAGATAGGCTGTTTTAAAGCTTCTGATACAAAATATGTAAGTCCTGCCCAAAAGGCTGCAGGAAAAGGCAATTTCTAAGATTTAGGAATAGGTGGATGCCGAACAGAAACCCAGGTATCAGTCACAGAGTCAGTACAGCTATTCCATTCAAACCTCTCCCCCACCCCCACCCCCCAAAAAAACACCCCAAAAACATTCCAGTGGCATGCAGAAGTCTGTAATTTAGGCATCACTTTTTTTAGACTTTCTGGAGTGAAGGACTCTAAACCTACATGAAAACAAGCTGAGGACAGTTCTAGCAAGTATAGGAACGTGAGCCCACTGTGGTTTTGATGACTTAAGGCAGAGGAGAGCAAGCAATTCTTTGTCAACACTATTTGAAATGAATTATTATAAGGTTAATTATCTGGCTCCCCAAATTCTCTGACCTTGAAAGAGCCAATAGGGCCCAGGCACAAATAGATTAGTCTCTTCAACCTAGGCAAGGCGGCCAAGTCCCTAAAAGCACAACAGGAACCCAGAATTTTGGTATCAGGGTTTAAAACAAAACAAAACAAACAAGCAAACAAAAAACCCCACAAGCACCTAGTGTTCTTGCTTCTGAAAAATTTCTAGTTAAAAAAAAGCGAGAATGTCGCTTATTTTCACACTTTCTGCATTTTTCAAATTTAACCAATCTTCCCAAGAACCTACAAATCAAAAGACTTACACACATTTGCTAACTGCAATGTTTGACCCTTATTTGGAACCCGTTCCAAACAAATAAACTATTTTTACATTTTTATAAAGTTGGGAAATGTGAATGCTAACTGGTTATTTTGATAAGACTAGGGAGTTATTATTAGAATGTTATAGGTATATAATAAGGATGGTTTTGTGGTTATTTTTTAAAAGAGACACACCTATCAGTGAAATATGATGTCTAAGTTCAAAAGGGCTGGGGTCAGTAGAGAGGAAAACAGATCGTAAGTTGATAACCGTGGAAGCAGAATGGTGGGGACCCGGGGTCCATTCCCTGTACTTTTGTGTATCTGATACTCCCCATAATAAAAAAGTTAAGACAAAAGAAACCCCCCAAAAAACCAACAGTCCTCCCAATTTACCTTTTCTGGTTCTTGTTTTAAGTGTGACACCCCAACAAACTCTGCCTCCAGCTGGTAGGTAAGTGCCAGTACTTGGATGTCCGTGGCAGAGAGGCTGGGATAGTCTCCAGTTTTCTTTGAAAACTCAGTCACTGTAAACAAGAGTCTCAACTTCATTTAGAGGCAAAAAGTCGTATGACCTCAGATAAAGATAATGAAAGTCTGAAAAGAACTTAGGATCAATATGTCAAGAAAAACCTCTTAAGACTATCATCCATTTCCTCATCTTTTTTCTAATCATAGCTGACATCTCTATTCTCTACCACCAAGATTCATGCCAGTTAGGTTTACTGTGATATCCTTATTGAGTACAGATGAGGAACGGGAGAACAAAGTTAAAAGGAAGGCACTCAAAGTTAGCATGATATTTGCAAATGATGAGTTTTTGGTATTATGTCAGAATAGAAGGTCTCCTCTCTCCCAGCTCTAAAATTCTTTGATGTTTAACAATTGAGATGAATAGAATGGATGACCAGATTTCAAAATGGGATGGAAAGTTAATCCGGCCAATATCTGTTGTAGTCTATGATAGAAAAAAAAATTATTGGTTGCTTTGTAATACATATTGGACAGTTTTTATGTATTAATAAAACAAACACCCCCCCCATGTTTACCACATTGTAAATGCCAGCTGTTATTGTTATTCTCCTGAGACATCAACAATAAACATGCACAATAACATTTTCTGACATATTAACAGAAAGGGGTCTTGTGCTACACCGCCACATGGGACAGTAACTATACTGCTTACATTTCCTAAAAGCAGATACCAATTAACAGCAGCAATTGTACTGGGCATTTACTAGTAGTATCTCACATGAGGCACTGTGTTAAAAGCTTTGCATGTCATCCTTCAACCAAATCCTATTACATGCTATTAGTATTTGTTCTGAAAGATGCAGTAACTCCCCCTTAAAGCTTTCACAGTAAGTTGGTGGGAAAAGCTACAGAAGAGTCACAAACTAACAGTGTAGCAAACATTTTCATTATCAGCCCCTAAACCCCACAAACACTTCCAGTCACCTAGGACAGTGGTCGACAAACTCAATAGTCAACAGAGCCAAATATCAACAGTACAACCATTGAAATTTCTTTTGAGAGCCAAATTTTTTAAACTTAAACTATATAGGTAGGTACATTGTTATTAACTTAATTAGGGTACTCCTAAGAGGGCCTTTGCTAAAAACGTCCTCAATCTGATTGAGGTACGTTTGCTGAGGTCGACCCCTTCCAACTCTCCCATCCACACTCGTCTTGTATACTTGTTTCGGGACTTTTCCTGGGCACCGTCACCTTGATCCCTAAGGAGAGATCAATGCTGACTCCCAAGCCAAGTGTAACTGTTTCGTTTTCTTTCAGGACTAACGGAAAGCCAAAGGCCACCCCTTGTTTTTCTGAGTTGAGCCTGGCCTCCATTTCCAAAACAATTATCCAAAACAATGACCACTCTGATCTACCGAAAAGACATGGGCAAGAGCCCTGGCCGGTTTGGCTCGGTGGATAGAGCGTTGGCCGGCGGACTGAAGGGTCACAGGTTCGATACCGGTCAAGGGCATGTACATGTACCTTGGTTTCGGGCACATCCCCAGTAGGGAGTGTGCAGGAGGCGGCTGATCGATGTTTCTCTCTCATGGATGTTTCTAACTCTCTATCCCTCTCCCTTCCTCTCTGTAAAAAAATAAAAATATATTTAAAAAAAGACATGGGCAAGAATAAGAAATCCAGGTTCTTTTATTTTTAATCCAAACAAACTCACCGAATGGTTGCCAGGCACTAGCCACTATGCTGAGTGGCAGCGCTCACTTAACGCTCCAGCAACCGCGGAGGCGGGCGCTGTTTTGCTCCCATTTTACAGACGAGGCGATCGAGGCCGAGAGCGTCTGAGTGTCACACCCAGGGCAGAGCCAGTAACTGGCAAGACCCCGCGGAAGCATTTCCTCCCACGACCTCCCGAGAACCTGAGGTTCCTAAATCAGCTGCTGATCAAGGGGCCCCACCCCAACTCGCACCCGAGCCGGCCCCATCCGCACCCCGGACCCGTCTCCGCCATGGCGGCCGGGGCAGGAGCACTCACCCAGCCGCACGTATTCCGGGAAGGGCTCTTTGAAACGCAGCTCGTAGGGCAGGACGGCGAGTCGCCGGCGCGTGGCCTTGTCCCGAATCTCGGTGACCACGTCCCGGATGGTGTAGATGTTCTTCCCAATGTCCTGCACGGAGACCGGCCCAGCTCATCGCCCCCGCGCGGGCCGCCGGCCCACACTC